CTACCTACCTACCTACCTTCCTACTACTCGTCGTCCGTACGTCCGTCCGTCCGTACTACTTACTTACTTACTTACGTACGTCGTCTACACTATACTCTACTCTTCTTATATATATATATATATATATATATATATATATATAACTCACGGCCCTATATCATTTCTGCTTCCCTTTCAAGCTATATATTTTATGCCACTTTCTAAAAAATATTTAATTTTGAGTTCGCAGTGCATGGCACGTTGGAAGGAGGTGTAATGCACATCGAGGAAAAATGAACGGTAGAGATGTTACTCAGTCGATTTGGGATAAGATCTCTAACATGCATCTAACGAAGAGCACGTTTGTTGGCCTTTATGACATGCTCATCATATCATCGTGAGATCGTACTGAATCTCGTGAGTGTATTAAAGGGAGAGCTTATTTTCATTTTAACAGGAGGACTAAATTGGTCATTTTCTAAAGCATGAGGATGCATTTGGAAAAGATAGATAGGAGGACCAACTTTGTTATTCGGAAGATGAAAAGGGTAGTTATGGAAAAGAGAGGAATGTAGTGAATCTTGCTTTTTCCTAGAGAGGATGAGAATAAGGGTTCAAAAAGAGGTCAGACAGGGTCGGGGTAGCAGCGAGGAGATCTTTTTTGGGCGCTTTGTTTTCCAAATTTTGGTTTTTCAATATTTGCTTTCTCTATTTTTCTTTTTTTTTTTTCCCTCTTTTATTCTATAATTTTATAAAAAAGGGTATCGTTTTTATAAGGTTGCAACTTTAAACAATCCAATTAAAGCGCACCTCCAAATTTTATCATAACATGTTGGTATAAAATATTTTTAAGATTATATAAAATCTATTTTTATATTTAATTATAAAATTATAAACTAGGTTAAAATCAAATAGATCTATAAACATATGAAAATTTTGAAAATGAACGATATAGATAATGTGTTGCATGATGCACTATTTTTGGGACTCCAAATCGTTTTTTTTTTTTTTTTTTTTCATATTTATACATCTTGATGTCGAGATGATCAATTAGAGAGTTTTTTAACATTAAAACAACAATGGATTTTTTATGTATATATTTAATTCTACATTTTAAAATTACAATATTATATAAACTTTTTCCTATAGATCAACAATTATATCATATTCTAAAGTCTCAAAAGGGAATGGTCTTATTGTATGCATTTCCATTTCGAAGAAGTCTCGTGTCCCTTGCATTGAAGCTCGTCCATTCTAAACGATGTAGGGGACATGAGTTCTTCTTGCTCAAGCAATTATTGCCGGTTATGCACTTTTTGGCTCCATTTGAAATTGGATACAGCACGTGAATTGCTACATATCTGATTCGGATTTGAACAGTGTAATTCAAATGGTGTGGGCGATTTCAGAGCTCCTCCCAATCCGGATCCCACTTGGGCATATCTGAGTCCCATTTTTAAATCACTACTCCATAATGATTAGTACGGTAAAATTTATCTTTCCAATTTGAGCTTTAAACTAGTAACTTGCTATTTAAGTCAATCTAGACCGTTAGTTAAACAATGCTTTGATGGAATTGGACCTCTTTATTTAATAATCATAGTTTTATTTGTTTAATGCAAGTTCTTGGAGTTACTACCTTTTCAAATGATGATAAACTTTGTACCAAAGATAAGATGCGTTGTTGGTGCTTCTTGATTGTCTCATCTCAATGAATAGTTGGGATGGCATCATGCCAAATTTTCAATAAATGCAAATATTTTTCCTGTATATAAGAATGTTTTCACCGTCAACCATCCGATGTTGTTGGGACAATGGAGAGCACGTTTAAGATTTTAAATTTTAATAAATAAAAATTATATTTTATTTGTTTCTAAATTTATTGGATCTTGATTTCCATTTTGGTAGTGGAATTACTTTGTAATAAATAGAAGAGACTTAATTTGGTTTGAGAACTTAATAGGACACAGTCCATGCCAACTAACTACCTTTGCCCAACCGACAAGCACCCTCTTGGAATAGTAGGATCTAGTTGCCCAATCATCTTGTTTCAAAGTGACAAATAATGCACCAAAACAATTATATTTAACTCTAAGATATAGAAATAAATTCGAGAGAATTTTCTTAGATTTTGATAGTATGAGGTTTTGTTAAATTTGAAAAAAATAAAAGAAAAAATTCTTCTTTTCTTACATTTATGGGGCCTTACTCTAATATTACCTCTAGGAAAAATGACGATCTGTATTTACCTTTCAAGAAATTCCCATATTTTAATACGATTGTTAAAATATAGGAATTTAAAAATCAACTTGCTTTAAATTTAGATGGGCAACACTGCACTCTCACATTTGTACTGGGTAAAGTTCTATTTAAAAATTCCATTTTCTCTTTTCTTTTCTTTTCTTTGTTTTTTTGGTTTTTGGT